ATCAATTGATTTGAGTATCGTTTTAAGCCTGACCTTCGTGCAATGAATTAGGAAAGAAAAATTTTTTATAACACAGAAAATGACTGAGTGTGAATGATATGTGCATTCTCATGCTTCAATCGAGTTGAGGGGTAGTTCTAAAGAATAAGCAATGTTGAATATTTTATTTGACTCCATACGGTTCGGCTTGAAGGGAATGCATGCCGAAAAAGGTGATGAACATAAGTCAATCTCACAGAATCGGTAATCAACTAAAATTTCCACGGTCCTACTCTAGAAATGATGATGCATACAATAGACTCAGGAATAGGTGCGTTTCTATAAGTCCTCCTACCAATATGACCAAGTTGCGAAAACAAGGTCAAACAACTTCTATAATTATCCTTTGCCTGTTTAGCGCTTGCTAAAAGGGTCAGTTTCGGAACATCTCAGCATACTCACATCTTCTAACTTTCATCCTGTGCTCGCCTAAATCTAGTAAAACGAATCACTTCTGTGGACAACAAATGATGGCCTCAAATAGATTGACGAGACCAGCGAAATTCCGGCTTGACGAAAATGAGTCAAATAGCACAGTGGACGGTGAACATTAACGAGGAGCCTTTAAGATCATGATTTGTGAATGAACTTTTTTAGGAAGCTTGATTATAGCAGGACAAACAATGCATCAAGTGTTCAAGTTTAACGATGTCTTTGTCTATTTATAACCATTTTAGTAAACACATAGGCTTGAATTATAAATAAAAGTTAGGAGGTTAATATTTGGGAGCGTATTGTCTCAAATTAAAACTACAAATGACATCCTCAAGCAGCCGATTTCGTGTAAAGTCCGCTTCACAAAACATTGCGGAATCAACATATGCCACAGATATGTTTACCGTATTTTTGTATAACTGCGTTAAAATGACAAGATATACTCCTTTATAATGACACGAAAAGGCGATTGCATCACCAATATCTTTTATAGGCTAGAATGAGGCATGAGTGAACGTGTTGAGTATGGGAAGTAGCGCGAATGAAGCCAGTAATGATACAGGATTTCTTTGCAGGTGGATGCCGGTGCCTTGTTTAGGCTTCTGTCGGATGCCTTGAGGACAGCCTGACTTTTCTCATACGCCAGTATGCTAGATCTTGAGTGCAGACGTTGGCTGAATGTAATCGACCGGTCGAGGCACATGAGTCAGATATTCTCGTACGTTTGCCTATTGCGAAACGAGAATGTGTTGTTAAATTGACGCGACGTCGTGTGACGAGTCCAATCGGTGTGCTCAGAAAGAGTTGAGTTCAGCAGCTGCATGCATATCGGCTTATCGATTGGCGCAGACTTGCCTCCAGCTTTAGCAGGAAAGAGTCGATTGTAGCCGACGCTTAAGGGCAATAATTTACGTGAACGTAGAGAAAGTCGGGCAATCGCATGCCCGTACATGACGTAAACTAGACTTTTAGTACCATAATAATCTTGAACTAGACTTATCCAACGAGTTTCAGGTGGTAGGTCGATTGGCCTTCTTGAAGTCACGTTAGCTCGAAGTCAT